CCCCTACCACCCCATCTTTTCATTCTTTTTTACCAATAGGTATATTTTATTACATAATACGGTACAAAAGATTTAAGAGATATATTGTTGACTTAAAGATGGCACATGAGGTGTGAGAGATACATGTCTACTATACATTGTTACGTGTTTGTCACTGATTATAATGCGAAAATCTCATCCAGCTCCTCAGTGCTAGGGTGCGTGCCCAAAATACAGCAGGCATTACCCCTCTGAACATCCGCACTGAGTCGCTGGAACAGAAAACTTGCTGCCCTGGTATCCCTAGTTACCCTGATCAGTCTTCTGACTAGCTCCTTAAGGAACTTAGATGCATTCTTTCCCCATGAGCCAAGGGGACTTCCTGAAGCTGGCGGCTGCCCCTCCTTCCTCCCTGGTGTATTAGAGATAGGTATCAGCCAAGGTAGATGCACATGTGTAGTCCCACACCACCTGCTTGCCATCTGTCCAGGCTTGAAGGGTGATACCACCTGGACGCTTTTGGCTACCATCAGATCTTCATAATTGGGGTGGCTCCCTTACTGCTGGACATCCGGCTGTTGTGAGGCTCCTCTTGATAATGTTATTAACCTCCTCATGTCTTGCAATTTTTCCCTCGGATTTACGGCACACAAGACCATGGTACCCGAATCGGTCTGCTGCTTCACTTCCACAAATACACCTGTGTTCGGCGAGAACAGAAGTGGCAAGTCGAAGGGCAACACCAATGCAAATGGTCTGTTGGTCGAGGCGTGCGCCAAGGCTGGAGTTGGGAGCAACCAACAGAAAGTCCCCTGCATGATGAGCTCTCACTGCCAGGAGGCGGGTTCAATCCTTCCCTGACACACTCTGAAGCATTGTTGAGGCTATATTCTCTACTATTGGACCATCCCAGTGCAACTGTTTGTAGTTGTTGAGGGGAGATGGTCTGGTTTTAGACCCCATTTAATTATCCTAAATCATGGCTCCGTCAGTGAACTTTTGGTCCTGGACTCGTCTTGTCTCTAAGATGTTCAGGGAAAATCGCTGCTACTAACCCTCTGGATGCAACGCATAAGGACAGAAAAGCAGGTTGCGCAATCTGTAATGAGTTGCGAACAACAATGCCTCCTAGTCTGATTGGAAGTGCAGCTTTGTCCCACTGTTAATCTTCTAGATTAAGGTTAAGTACATTCGTAAATATCTGCCTCAGAATACTGTCATATTCGTGCAGTATAGGGTTATTATATGAAGGTGCACATCTTAGGAAATATGTCAACCTGGGTAGACTCAAGCACTTTGAGAAAAGGTACAAGGCATCGTGGGGTGTCAAGATGCCTCTATTCGTTGTTCCATTCTCCTCAACTCTTCTAGTTTCTTCCTGAGAATTGTGACAATAGCATCGCTTTCCAGAGGTACTCCAAGCAAGACGCTATTTATGGGGGCAATGACTGGTGCTCCTGGTAGTTTTGAACTTACTGCATCTGTCACATGTTGATTGACTGAGATTTCACACACACACACACACACACACACGCCAGGAGCTTGGACTCGACCCCTGCAACCTCAACTAGGTGAGTACTAGGCGAGTACACACATGCACACACTATATATATATATATATATATATATATATATATATAAAATATATATATATATATATATATATATATATATATATAAGATGGGGTCCACCTCTGGTGTAAATTGTGGGACCCACAGCCTCGGAGAAGTGGATAAAAAGGTTTGAAGGAAGAATATTTGGATTTCTTCCTGAAGCCGTTTAAATATTCCACTTCCCCTACCAACCCATCTTTTAATATATTTTTTTTTACCAATAGGAATATTTTATTACATTATATATATATATAATATATATATATATATAAAATATATATATATATATATATATTTTAAATATATATATATATATATATAATATATATATGGTAAAAGTAGCAGTATTGAAATTTTGCCGACTGCGATCTTTCTCTGTCTCTCTCTCTCTCTCTCTCTCTATATATATATATATATATATATTTTTTTTTATTTTTTTATCACACTGGCCGATTCCCACCAAGGCAGGGTGGCCCGAAAAAGAAAAACTTTCACCATCATTCACTCCATCACTGTCTTGCCAGAAGGGTGCTTTACACTACAGTTTTTAAACTGCAACATTAACACCCCTCGTTCAGAGTGCAGGCACTGTACTTCCCATCTCCAGGACTCAAGTCCGGCCTGCCGGATTCCCTGTTCCTTCATAAATGTTACTTTGCTCACACTCCAACAGCACGTCAAGTATTAAAAACCATTTGTCTCCATTCACTCCCATCCATCTGTTTCTTGTCATCCGCACTACATCCACGCACATTCAAGCATCCCAGTTTTATAAAGTTTTTTTTTTTTCTTTTTTAGAAAATGTCTACAGGAGAAGGGGTTACTAGCCCATTGCTCCCGGCATTTTAGTCGCCTCATACGACACGCATGGCTTACGGAGGAAAGATTCTTTTCCACTTCCCCATGTACAATAGAAAAAAAGAAAACAAGAGCTTTTTAGAAAAAGAAAAAAAACCGGGATGTAATATATTTATATATATATATATATGCTTGCTTCTGTAAGTGTGCCCAAAAAGTGTAAGAGGAGTAGAAGTTCCCTTTATTAGAGTGTTTATGAGACAGAAAAAAAAAACCAGAATCCTACCACATGCAAAACTTTACAGTTTCTGTTCACAGTCATCTGGCGGACGGTAGTATTCCCTGGGTGGTTGCTGTCTCCCAAACCTACTACATGTCTCCAACCTCCCTACTTTTTATATATATATAATTAAATATATATATATAATATATATATTTTATTATATTATAAAAATTTATATATTATATTATCAAGCGGTGCAGAATGCAACCCCCCCCCCCATCGGGTTGCTTTCATATTATAAAAAATATAAATATTTATATATATATTATATTATATATATATTTATATATTTTAAAAATGTATATAAATATTTAGTGGAGAGACAACAGAAGAGAGAGAAAGATCGTATCAGTAAGATCAATACTGCATTGAGAGAAAAGATTCCCGGGGCAGCCCCCTCATCCACTTAGCCAAAAATTCATATAAGTGGGAAGTGGTTCCAAGCCATGTTTTTTTCCTACCCCGGGCCGTCAGGAACCTTTAAAAGCTGGGACCAGCACAACCCCCGTTTTTGGACCCCAAGCGATTTTTTATTTCCCCCCGCAGAAACAAGCAATGTAATATATATTATATATTATTATATATAAAAATTATTATTATTTATATATATATTATATAATATATATATATATATATATGTGGAATATGAAAAAAAGGTCAATTAGCAAGAACTATTTAAAATTAAGTCCTTTCTAAAATTTTCTTTATACGTTTAAAGATATATTTTTTTTTTAATTTATATAAAAAATTTAAATTTTGTACCAAAAGAATCTTTGAAAACTTACCTAACCCTTTTTAAACAAGAACAATTTATTTTACCCTAACCCAACTAAAAATTTTTTTAGATCTTTTTTACGTAATTTTTTACTAAATAAACACAGTGAAATAATTTTTTTCGTTAGGTCAGAAGATTTTGGGGAAATTTTTGCTACACAAATTTTCGCTTGTCCCATATGGCAAGATGAGCGTTGTTATTTAAGCCCAAAATTGCAAGTTCTGCCTATTCGGCCACATATTATTAATATTATATAATATATTTAAAAAATTTTTAATTTTTAGAAAGGACTTAATTTTAATGAGTTTTGCTAATTGACCCAGTTTTACATAGTCGGAACGACCATTATATTATGACTCACGAAAATCGTTAATGACACGATTTGCAAACAAACCATACCCCGGCCGGATTGCACCCGCGGTCAGAGGAGTCTCAAAACTCCCAGGACCTTCCGCGTTAGCCACTAGAATCTTATTGTGCTAGCTGGTCTAGTGGCTAAAGACGGTCTGGAGTTTAAGAGACTCTGACGCGGAGTTCAATCCCGGCCGGGATTGGTTTGTTTGTATCGGTCATTACGATTTCGATGAGTCAGTTGACGGCAGTGAGGGGACTTGAGCTAGAGTTCGTCACGGCCACGCTAGCTGAGATTCGTCTGTAAAAACTTGCATTTGTGGTCACAGTGGTGCTATGTAACTTCCTGTGGTTGTAGAAATATTACTAGTGGAGAAATCTTATTGTGGCTAGCTGGTCCAGTGGTAACGTGACGGGTCTGGAGTTTTGAGGGACTCTCAGACCGCGGAGTTCAAACCCGGCCGCGTATGGTTTATTTATATATTATATATATATATATATATATATATATATATATATAATTTAATATCTATATATATATATATATATATATTATATATCTCTCACGACACTCTAACCCACAGGACCATACAATCCTCAAGAACATGCATCCAGCGGAGCGGGAGCTAGGTGTTTGTACCGTTGATCCGAAAGACATACGATGGTTGTTGAGGCCTCAAGATAATTTCATTATACTTCCGGTTGGTGTTAATAGCCTCCACAAACAGTTATATGTATTGTAACATGAAGGGTGGTATTTATTCAATAATTATTAAAGTGCTAGATTCATGGATTAAAATACACTCACTGGAAGAAGAAAATTTTAGGGAATTCTAACATTATATACCTTGTATATTTGTTAGCTGGAAAAATATTAGTGAGGTAAAGAACAGAAATGATATTTGAGTTGCTCCGAGTTTTTTTCTTTTTCTAATTTTCAATTATCATAGTAAAATACTTGTTATTCATTCTTTCATTTTTTATATGTAATACCTAGGAAAATAGTTATAAGGTTTGTGAAAGTTAAAAAAAAAAACCACTTACCACATACTCTTTAAAAATAATTTCACAAACTTCTATAAATTCTACGTAATTTTTCTAATTTTCATCTGAAACTCAGCGGTATAAAAACACATATCTGGGGACGTAATCATCTGGAGACATAGCCATTGGTTTTATTCTTACGTAGGAAAAACACACCTTGGAGAATCGTAGTCGAGGGGGTGAGTGTTGCGGAACCAGGTGACTGCGCCGACGTTGTCAGAATGGGTATTGACGATGCAAGTCAGTCGGATGGTCGACCCCTTCTGTATGTATACCTCAGCTGGGCCCTCGATCCTCGCCTGCTGCACTGGAACAAAGACATGCGTAACTTTTATTTAAAAATATGTAAAATTTTCGGTTACTACACTATCACATTGCAACGAACATGATGCCTGAGGCACATATCAAAGTAAAAATGCTTGCAGTCAGTGCTCGTTTGGCATTTTTCAGTAATCTTAACAACGACTTATTTACGGCCCTACATGTATCAGGGTCAGTCCTTGGCGTGATGCGACCAGCATGGGAACCGTCACTGTTAGGTTAAGTTAGGAAAATGCAGGACTTGTAGAGGTATGCAGCGAAACTAGTCTCAGAACTAAGGAATATGTATACTACTAAAGAAAATGATTAAATGGCATTAGAGAATTGAAGAACCAGGGAAGACATGACAACGATATACAAAGTGCACAGCAAAATTTATAAGGTGAAAACGAACAGATTGTTTAAGAGGCATGAAAGTGGTACTGAGACAGTTCGTAGTTGAAGAGGTACAGGTCACTTTGTCCGACTTTTTTGGGTTATCCACGGTTCTCTACACACATACTGCTATGTATGATAATCTATGTAACTGAATTTGTGCATACCTGAATAAACTTACTTACTAGGAGTTACGAGAATATCAGGGAGAATTTATTTAGCTTTACTCTGGGAAGGAAGTGGGATGATTTAGACGAGAAGTATTGAAAGCAGGATCCATACACAGTTTTACAGAATAAGTGATACACGACCAACGAGGATAAGAGTGAGTAAACCAACGTGACTGCAATTTCTCGAAGGTAATGAAAAGCTAATTTTAGAAGTGATCTACAGACCCTCAAACCTAGAAAGTGACCAAGGTAAATTTCTGTCGGACGAAACTGCTAAGACATCTAAAAACGAAAACGTAGCTTTGATTTGATTTCACCTAAGCCTAACTGAAGCATTTTGCCAAGAAATCTGGAGTCTAGGAAAACTTCTAGAGAAAAAACCTGCTTACTTTATTTATGGAGTGTTGACATCACAAACTCTTGAATGAACCTTTCTGTTCAGTTCAGGATATATATCAACGTACACAACCCCAGGTGACAGTAGCACCTTGATGCACCTTAGCTGAAAGGTGCGACAGGACGCAGGAAATAGGTACGACAAATATAAGTGAGATGGGATTGGATTTGTAGCCAAGACCTGTCTGCATGGGCTAGTGTGCTGCTTTGTAACTCTTCCATGTTCATTATTTCGCCCACATGACGACGGATCCTAACATGGATTTTATTCTTTTAGCTAATTGTATGGAAACATGAAAGCTATTAGACCTTCGCGGGGTTGTGCCGGCGGTTAGGCACTTAAAGCAGCTTCTAGCAACTTCCCCAATTTTATGTGGATAGTTTTGCTGTTGACCTTGTCGTGTCTTGCATAAACAACAATTTCCACATTTACCCACGTGTATGTATACACAGCCGTCGTTATCAATCTGTTTTTAAAGGCGTTTTCTTGTTTCACGAAATCTAATACTTTATGAACTAGCGTTTCTCCCACCATATTCCTCTCACATCCTCACTCGATACTAATGTATATTATACTTACATAGTCAAAAAGTTCTCTCTTGTATTTCTTGCTCCCATGTTATGGATTGAAGATGAAGGGTTGATAGTTATTTGATGGGAATGATTTGTAACTAGTTTTACACCACTTAGCTTGCCGCCACTTTGGTTACCAGAATAAAGTATGTATCATGGTGGATTCTCTGCTTTGTATTTTGACCTGCTTCGTTTCTGATGAAATATACAGGGTGTTTACCTTAGCCTACCGCGTCTTGGCTCCAACGAATTTTTACGATTCATTATGGGTTATATAAAGAAGCTTAGATTATTGTTTATTATCGTAAAAACTTTCTGTAGGGCTAGGTTTAGTCCTTCTGTGCAGTGCAGGTGTGACTTGGACCTGCCTAGCATGGGCCAGTAAGCCTGTTGGCAGTGCTCTTTCTTTCTGATGTTCTTATTTGAAATCATACTGATTTGAAAAGTGGCATATTTTTGCAGTGAGGTATTGGTATTGTCTCTTCATTCTGTAAGAGATATGAGCTATGATGTGACAAGGGTTAGTCATGATAACGAGGCAAACATTACTAACTGGAATTGATAGAGTTGACTGGAATAGGCTGTATGAGAAACATGACACAGAAACACGAGAGTACAAATGGAAATTAATAACTCAGACGAGACCAGCCTTATAGTAGTCAGAAATTGGAATGATCTGAACAGGGTCAGGAACTGAAACTTGACTTCTGCGACCACAACTAGATGTCAGGGACAGATGAGTTACGGGGATGTTAGGAAGCATTTCTTCACACTTAGAGTGGAGAGGAAGTGGATGGAACGATCTGGAGTTAGAGTGGTAG